TCATGCTGCTCCATTGTCTGGAACACTGCTCCCTCCATTCTACCATGTTCACTTCCATTTGTCTTCTAGACTTACCTGGGTGTTATCTCCTCCACAGATCTTTCCTGAACCCCAGAATATGCTAAGTCCTTCTCCTCAACAGACTCACTGCATTTGTGAGTGCCTCTTTTTGCTATCTTTTATCGAAACTATATTCATGTATTTGTCTCCCCCACTAACCGTGTGGTCCTCTAAGATGGGAACTGTGCCTGACTCATCTTGGGATCTTACTTAGCACAGTCCCTGGCATCCTGTAGGTTCCCAGTATACATCTGTTGATCCAAATCCCACCCGATTTTAGAGGTCCTTGAGGTTAGCTCATTCATTTGTTTATTCCAGACATACTTATTGAATGCTTCTTTATTTTTATCTTTCATGCCAGGAACTCTGCTAGGTTCTGGGAAGACATCTGTGAACAGACGAGGCCTTTGTCATCACAGAGTTACACACATTTTAATAAAGGGAGATTGACAGTTGTCACGTAAGTGACTGAAGGCAACAAACAAGGTGATGACTGAGGGCGGGTGGGACGGGTTTCCCCACTTCAGAAAAGATGAAAGGACTTTAGTGGGGCAAACCTCAGAATAAAGTTAGTTTTCCTCCTGAATGTGATTTTCTAATATGGGAGATATAGAAATATACACACGCTAATGTATACAAGTGCATGGTTACATCTGTATTCATAAACTATTTGTAACAGGTATTACATAATCCTTAATTATTACATATAGTACATATATGTATGTAATATACTATATATACTATATACTAATATATTACATATAGTAAAATATATGCCTGTATGGTTTTACTCTTACGTATTTTATTTCATTTGTTGAGTGGAACACAACAAAGGTCCTATTATATCCATATTAGGGGTTGAGAAACAGAATCAAGTAAGATCAGTGACTTATTCCAGGCCATAGAGCCAGTGACAAAGCTGGTATTCTCAACCCACTTCTCTTAGCCTTGCTGAGCCTTTAAAAAAAATTTTTTTTCAATGTTTATTTATTTTTGGGACAGAGAGAGACAGAGCATGAACTGGGGAGGGGCAGAGAGACAGGGAGACACAGAATCGGAAACAGGCTCCAGGCTCTGAGCCATCAGCCCAGAGCCCGACGCGGGGCTCGAACTCACGGACCGCGAGATCGTGACCTGGCTGAAGTCGGACGCTTAACCAACTGCGCCACCCAGGCGCCCCTGAGCCTTTATATATAATACTTATCTCACACCAGATAACTGGAAAGTTCCTGAAAGATTCAACTACTGCCATGTCAAGATGTTCCTTACCGATCCCAGAAGAATCACATGGTTAATAGTGCCTAAGAGCATTTATCTAAAATATTAATTTTACAAACATGTTTATTTAAAGGATTTATTTAAACGTTACTAACTTGCAAACATGTGATTTCACTCAGCACATGTTTACTGAGAGCTCAGCAGGCACTAAGAACCATTCTGGGAACTGGAAACCTGCAAGACCAAAAAATAAGACACACATGTTAAAACATAAAAACACGACCAGGAACAAGATACTGAGTTGGTAATGTTTAAGTGTACACAAATATTGTAGGGATAACCAAGATTTGTGGAGAACCACAATAGTCTGAGGACAACTTGGATATAGTCTATGGTGGCTTTTACAGCAATATCAAGCTAGGAAGTGTGCACCCAGGTGAAATCCACAGTCATTTTTCTCAGTAGTGGAGCCAGAACTTAACTTTCAAGGGTGAAGTAACTGTAGTTCAAAGGTAACACCTTATTCTGTGCCACACACAAAGTATCTGGAACAGAAACTCCGAAGTCCTTTAACCATGCCCCCACATTTTGAAGAAAATGATATATAAAAGCACCCATCTCAGTGTAAGGGAACACAGAGCCATTAATGGCAAATGGAAGACAGAAAAAGGAATAAAGAGATAGGAAAAAGGGGCTGGACACTGTTCTACTAAAGATACATAATTAAAGTCAGTATGTGGGATTTATAACGGAGAGAAATACCAACATAGCTAGAAGCTTCTGCTCTTTACTAAATTGTCAAATACCAACAAAAGTAGAAGAATTTCCCAGACCTTCCCTACAAAAAAGTTAACTGCAATGATTAACTGGAAAGACAGACTATGCCAGGACTATATTAGACCCAAAGTTATCTGTTTAAAACACTTGGACGAGGGATGCCTGGGTGGCTCTGTCAGATGAGCATCTGACTCTTGATTTCAGCTCAGGTCATGATCCCAGAGTTGTGGGATTGAGCCCTGCCTCGGGCTCTGTGTTGAGTGTGGAGCCTGCTTAAGATTCATTCATTCTTTCTTTCTTCCTTTCTTCCTTTCTCTCTCTCTCTCTCTCTCTCTCCCTCCCTCCGCCCCTCCCCCCTGCTTGCACTCTCTCTCCCTCTCAAATAAAATTTTAAAAAACACTCAGATGAATGAGAAAGCTTCCCAAGTCCCTTAGACATACTACAATACTGTGTATGTAATGAAGAGATGTTGGTAAAAGTTAATGAAGTTCCAAATTTTATATACCATTTACCCCAGTGTGGGTTGGACTTTCTTTTTTCTGACTTGATCTGGATTTCAGTGCAGACTTATGCTGCTAGCTATGTATATATTTTTACTACCAATTACTGCTATTTCTGTTATTGACACTGTTTTTCAGAACTGTCTTTAATTTTTAAACTATTAAGGGACACTTTGCACAGACTTTTGAAGCTTTCTGCTCTCTATCTGGGCAGCATGTGTGCATGTGTGCACATGAAGATTTTATTTGCTTAAGGTTTCACATAGACGAAGCCATCAGAGATAGCTTTATGTTTTTATGAGGCTTGTTTCAAAATGTTCAGGAGCATCATTCCTGATTGATAATTTGCAGACGGGAAACTGCTCCTTTGTCTCAAAATAAATAATTGAGAGATGGTTCAATATCATTGTGTGCAAGGGAAAATGAGTTCTAGAGGCCACCCCTAGATCCTATCCAGGAGAAACTCCACACTTAGGGCTGTTTCATTACAAAAATGAATGAGCTCCCCACAGCAATCAATGCCTCATTCATTCCTGAGCCACGTACATGGTAGCAGAACGTTCCTATCTATCTTTGACGAGACTGCAATTCCAATGTGTGTGATTTAACAGTGTTTAAGAGCCTTTCAGGGTTCATTAGACGCTGAGTAATGTATACCTTTATTCTATCCACACGGGAGTAACTGCTAGGGAAGAAGTGTCTATGTCCACTGCAATCCCATCAGGAATGACTACTGGTGTCCCTATAGCCAGCAGAAGCCTAGATAACATCCAGCAGAAGGAGGAAAACGCTTTGTGGGTTCTCTTCTGTAACCTGTCCTTCAGACCAAGTACAATACAGAGCCGTAACTGGATTTTTCCCTCCTTTGTCATGTCTCTCCTTCCTACCCTTTTCTCTCAATTCACGTTTACTGCACCAAAGCCCAGCTCAAACAGCAATTCTTCTCTGAAACAGACTTCCACCTAAAATGTATGTTTCCTCTACTCAATTAGAACATCCAGTGTGGCACTGAATCCACAGTGTCCTGAGTTCACTTACAGATCTCCTCTCCCTTCCTAGATTATGAAGCCTTCAAGCATGGAAACCGCAACTTGTAAAGAGCCACTTAAGTCAGTTACAATATAAAAAAGGTACCAAATTTTTTATCCACTCAGTAAATAGTTACTATGCAGCTACAGTACTCCAGCACAGTGGACACGGCTCCTTTCTCCACATGGCTCACAGCTGAGTGGCATGACTGAAGGAATTTGCAATGCCATCTCATCTATAACCGACGCTCAACAAATTTCAAATAACCACAAGAAGAAGAAAACACGTGCCCTGAGAGGAGTCCCATAACAGGTCACAAGGGATCTTTATCTACAAGAAAGAACACTGTTAGCTTCTCGAGGAATTTCCCCAGGGAAGTGGTATAGCTATCTCAGGCAATCAGGCTTAGCTTAGATTAAACAAAAATGTGCAGTGAAATGCTCTGATGACACAGTGTTCTGAAAGAACTCTACCAAATCAAGTCTGATTCTTTTTGCCTCAACAATTGACCTTAGAGATTGAACTTACACTTGACTGAAGCTCCTCTGCTCTCAGACAGAGGTCTCAACACATCAGCTACAATAGTAATAAATGAGTAATGGCAAAGCCCCACTGCTTTCTCACAGCTGCTAGCTTTCAGGGGGGAAAAAAAAAGAAAAAAGAAGAGGAAAAACCAGTCTTCCGAGCCTTAATGTTACATTCTGAAAATTTTCCTTCATCTCAGATAATGAGACTCTTGGGAACACCAAGCTTGGCAATGGTAAAATAATACATATGTTATGTTTTAGACAAGACCTACAACCACAAATGGAGCCACTCGGAGCTACAGCTTGGCTTCGTACCTGCCAAGTCAAAAATACGAAATCAAATGTTACGTGTGTCTAATTCTTGTGATATCAAAGAACTAGACCTTCGTCTGTGTTTTTTCATTTAATTCACAGAGCATGTGGGATGCCTGGGTGGCTCAGTGAGTTGAGCGTCTAATTCTTGATTTCCATTCAGGTCAAGATCCCAGGGTTGTGGGATCGAGCCCCACATCAGGCTCCATGCTGAGCGTGGAGCCTGCTTAAGATTTTCTCTCCCCCCAACCGCCTCCTCCCCCGCTCACGCATGCGCTCTCTAAAAATAATGAGAATAATTATTATTATTATTATGTATAAAGCACAGCTACCTGTGGGATACAATTCCCCAGTACTCAGATGAGAAAACAGAACCACAAAGCATGTAAGTGGCAAACCCAAGGTCATGCAATCAATCAGCTTAAGCGGGAACCAAAACCTAGGACCTCTACTTTCAAGTCCAGAGTCTTCTTGGTAAAACCTATGGCTTCAAAGAATGCACTAAGTACAGAGCCCCTCACTGACCTGGGAATTTCATTTGTTCTTGGGACACTAAAGAGATTGTGTGACCTTTACCTCTTTAAGGCAGCCCATAAAGTTGTTGCTGACGGGTGAGCCTGGCAAGTCAGCGGTACTTGGGCTTCCTCCCACGTAGAAGAAGTCATCCGAGCCCAGCATGGTGTAGTCCTCCTGAGTGTAGCCCGTTGTGGTAAGGATGCCATCCACAGAGATTGTCACCTGGTGGAGGGACATAGGGACAAAAGAAATCCCAACAATGACTTTATAGTCCAATCAAAATCCGGCGGCTTCCCCTACCTGTGGCATCACTTTCATTAAGATTTTGGTGAAGTATGTTTTTCTAATTTGGTTTGATTTTGGTATATGCAGCCAAGTTCCATTTTCTGGTCTGCCTTCCCTGCGACCCAAGCCTCCAGCATTCCTGTGCAGACTCCCGGGGGACTTTGGTGGAATTGCCAAGATGGGCAACTTGCTTTACCCGCTGTGCTCTTTATTCAGTCAGGCTAGAAAATGGAACTATCCTCAGACGACATCACTTGTCTCAGTTCATTGGTAAAATTTTCATTTATTTTTTGAATGATTATTATTTATGGTGGTAGTGAAAAACAGCAAAGGAGACGTTTGACAATGGGTTTGTTAGGGTTGGTCTTTGGTTGTGGATGGTTTTTTCCTTTTTTCTTTTCTTTTTCTTTTCTTTCGTATTCACTTCTTTTGGGGCTCACACCACGCTGACAAACATGCATTCGGGAAGGGAAGGAGAAGGGTTTCAATTTCGATGTGTCATGGGTGATACATGCCATGGACGACCCCAGGACACGAACCCCTGCCCTCCCTTAGCTGCCATCACCACCACCAAGAGAAGAAATGACCCAAACCAAGAAGGCAACTCTAACAAAAAGAAAGGAATATGAGGCATACTAACCAAAATGAAAATAATAATAATAATGCCCACAGGGAAGAAACAGCACCCACACACCCAACATCCACGAAAGGAGCAGAAGGCAGAGAGAAAAGATGGGGCCTCGAAGCGTGCACACACCATACGCTGACACACCCATGCGAAAACCATCAGGAGCCAAGAGAAAAGGTGGAAGAAAAAGGGGAGGGAAGTGGGCAGGGGTGCGGAGAACCAAAGGGAAGAGTCAAAATCCACTTCACACGTACATGCACTGAAGAAACCGGAACACAAGATGGAAATAAACACAAAACAAAACAAAACACTGGAAACTATAGGGTCATCTTTCCCCTGCCTGCCACCTCCCTCACTAAAAAAAAGAAAAGAAAAAGTCCAAACCCAACCCCAAAATATATGAAGGATGAGAGGAGAATGAAGAAGAGTGGAGACAAAAATAAAGAGAGGGAAGAGAGTGGAATTGGGCTGATGATTGGCAGGTTGTTAGTAATGA